TCTGACTGGTAAATAGTGCTAATATTGTCATGCACATGGAGTAGACTTAGTATGGCTGTGTCATCTGAATATTTAAAAATAAAATTTTGTGAATGCCTACTTAAGCATTCATTTGTAAAAAGTGTAAAAAGAATGGGTGAACTGACGCAGCCTTGTGGAACACCTGTACTACTGCTCTTTTGATATGAAAGACGATTGTTTACCTTTACACACTGAGTTCTATCTATTAAAAAAGAATAGTACCACTTAATAATACATGGGTTTACACTCGGCTACTTCATTTGATCAATTAACAAACGAGGTTGAATCGTGTTAAAAGCGGAGCTAAAATCAACAAACTGTAACCGAGCATAAGCTTTAGGATCTTCTAAATGCTTCAAAATCAAGTGCATAATGCTGTTAATAGCATCTTCAGTTCCTCTCCCTTGTCTATAGGCAAACTGTAAGGGATCTAGATTACTAGCAACCTCTGCTTTCAACATAGATACAACACACTTTTCAAAACATTTCATAATCACAGATGTTAATGCAACCGGTCTAAAATCATTGTTCTCTAAAGGCCTAGCTATCTTAGGAACAGGTATAATCAATGTTAGGGTTAGGTTAGGGTTAAGTGTCCGTGTCGCCAGCAGTGCAGCGCCACCGGAAGTTGTTAAAAAGGTCAACTGGTCAACTGCCTTCAGTAAAGGAGCTCAAATGCTCACGACTAGCAGCTAGACTTTGCTCAAAAAGCACTTCTGATTAGAAAATCCTCAGGACAAAATCCTCACGAATACAGACTTCACTGGGCAGGAAAACAAGGCCCAAAGTCCCAAAATATGCTCTCCTCCCGTGAAGACTCTCCTCCGCGTCTCGAGGTGTTTCCATTTGCATCTCATTTGATTCTAAGTGGCTCTGAGAGACGAGCTTCTAATTAAGCCACCGGCATGCTGGGGAATTTGTTGAACGCTGTCGAGCAAACAGGCAGATTACGGAGCGACCTCTGGAGTCCTGCAGACGCTGGAGATCCTCAGACACACATCGAGACGCTGATGAGCAATCATAACGAGGACACGGACTCCTGCTGTGAGGAGTGTGTCAGAGGTGTCAGGATGGTGCTTGAACTGCAGTGGAGTCACAGCGGTGTATGAATCTGTGTGTTCTGGGATCAGTTTCACACAAACACATCTGGGCTCCAGAGAGAAGCATCGCTACACTTATTTGTACTGATGCTCCAGCTCCAGTGAAACATCACTTAATAAATCCTTGTCTGACGATTACTGTATACTGACCTGGCTGAGAGTCATTTTCTCTGATCGTATTTCAGTAATCATGTCATGTGTGTTTCCTATCAGCTGTTTAGAATTGGAATCAATGCCAGAATTTTTTTTTTTTCATCTAATTGGTCAAAAAGTCTCCAATGGCTTGCACACACACACTGAACCATTTCCAGCAGATTCATACAGCAACACATATATCACAAACTCACACACTTAACCAGAGATGTGGACTGCACACACACACACACACATTGTGTATCCATAGGTGTAATGGTTTTTCTACTGTACAGTCTGTATTTTCTATCCTCTTACCCTAACAAATCTGATGAAGAAACAAACTCATCCTAATTTTCCATCAAAATGTTCATTTTGGGGTGGACTATTCCTTTAAGTGTGTGACACAGTGAACGTTCAAGAGCAGAACACCAAGTTTTTCTTCACAGCTAATTTGAGCGCTGAAGGTACTGATGTGGATCTGCTCCTCCTGTACATCATGCTGCTGTATTTCTCTGTTGCTGTGGGGGGCGAGATGCTTCTTCCTCTTTCATGTGGCTGTAGTTTGATCAAGTGGACAGGCCGAGGCAGCGGTCAGCCTCCGGTCTCCTCCTGACGATCACAGCGGGAGAACTTCACCTCCACACCTCTGATCAGATGAACAGAGAGCCAGAGAAACAGGCAACTCCACACTCCTGCTAACAAGGCTATTTAAAAGTCTCTTGTTTTACCTTCAGTGTTGAGCAGCGGTCTGCTGCAGCTGTTCAAAGCAACAAAGAGCTGTGTGTGTGAGTGTGTGTGTGTGTGTGTGCGTGTGTGTGTGAGTGAGTGTGAGGGTGTGTGTGTGTGTGTGTGTGTCTGTCTGTCAGTGTGTGAGTGTACCTGTTTTTCTATTCTGGTGGGGACTTAAACCTGACTACACACAGACTCATGGGGACTCGTGTCACGGTGGGGACCAAAATTGTGGTCCCCACAGGTAAACAAGCTAATAAATCACACAAAATTAAGTTTTTTGAAAATCTAAAAGTGCACAAAGTTTCCTGTGAGGGGTAGGTTTAGGTGTGGGGTTGGTGTAGAGCAGGGGGCGCCC